ATACTTTGAGTGTTGATGTGTGTCATGACTGGTATGTGGAGGTCAGAGAACAATTTGCAAAGAATTTGTTCTTTCCTTCTACCATGTGAATCCTGTGGATCAAATTCAGGTTAGGCTTCATGGCAAGCACCATTACTGGCTGTGACATCTTGTCACCCTAGTCCTTATTCTATCATCACTCAAATGTAGAAATTATTTATTGAATAGTTTTATTGTATTGACGGAAAAGGTTTCCAGGTACTTCTGTTTACTTAAACACACTTTTCATTTCCATTATGGTTTTATATATGCTGTTCAAATTACTTTACTCAGTGGGGGATGGGGGGCGAGTCCTGGAGGAGTTAGGCAACTCATTTATAAATCACTTAAAGTTTTGCCATGGTTTCAACCAGCTATTTGCAACAAAAGTGATATTAAAAATTTATACATACATGTTTGTATGTATATATATTTAAACAACATTATGAATAATAGAGAAGTACCTTATGATCTCTGTACCGAGCAGTTATTGCCCTTGAGTCTTTCTTCTGAACCTCAATGATACATTGTTAACACCTAAATCAATGAACCATTATTGTTCTTTGTGAGATGTTGAGAATAGATTTGGGGAATTGTCAGTTAAGAAGCATATTTTACTTGGGGCTGTAAAATGTCAAAATAATAACTAAAGTATTCTCTATCTTATTTATCTATCTCTTTGTCACCTATTCATCTGTCTCTGAGTACTGAAACACACTCCCTCCTCTAACACATATAAACCAAGCAATGTTATGTAGAAGACATTTGAATTTTGTTTTTTCCTGCAGATTTCCACAGGGAGCAGAACAGATATTACTGATTCTATGCTTCATGGTGAGTTACAGTTATAATGGGGACAGCAGGCTTCTATACCTCTTTTTAATAGAAGGCACAATACCAGCAGAGATTTTCTAACTGCATTTAAAATCCCCCCAATAGCTATTATTACTTCCTTAAAACCATTTGAGCATTAGTGTCAAATCAAGTGGAATAGTTTCATTTAAATAATTTAAGGGGCTGACTGATGTTCTCACATTAGCCATAATAAATAATGTTATTAATTTAAAGAGAAAGAGAGAGAGAGGAGGATCTGAATATTATGATTTTGCTTTGCTTTCAACTAAAAAGTTTTTGAAAAGGATTAAAAGACTGGCTTTCCCTCCTCTGAGTTTGACTCCCTGTATATCCCACCTATCGTCCTTTCATAGAAGTCCCACCCTTTGTGTAAGGCCCTGAGTTCCTGCCCCTGCAGTGTGGTGTCCTGTGGTGGGAAAGCTTAGTCTTCCAGAACAAGCTTATTGATCAGCAGGGTTTGCTCACTCAAGTGGAAGGACATTTTGATTTTTTCCCTTGGGTTTTCCTTTCTGAGAAAACCCATATGAAGAATTCTTTCACTCATCTTATTGTGCTTCAAATCAATCTTTCATTTGATATGATATGAAAAAATGGAAAGAAAAGTATCCACCTTAAGACTCCCACCAAGCGAAGAAGTCTAGGTACCGTAGCATTCTCTTCAGTGTTTGCAAAACTTCATTCTATTTTGAAGAGGAAAACTGAATTTTTTTCTTTTATGCTGCCAATGAGCTTTCAAATGTCACTACGTTCCCAAAATTCTGACCATAAATATTACTTGAGAGTACATGTTTACTGCCTTGTCTTTGATATTTGGAATTAGTAATTCTAAAGTGAGAATCAGCATTTAATGATAACTCCAGGTGACTCTATGTGATTTATATTAGGAAACTATTGAATTATGTTCTATCATTTTAGAAACTAATGATAGCAACTCTACATACACGTTTTGAAGTGAATGTCTGCATTTCTTATCCCACTTGATTTCTAGCTTTTGGACTTCATAATGGCAATTATAATTTCTATTGGCTCCTTTAATTACTGGACTGAAGCTGTCTGTCCTCACATAAACTTTTCTTGAAGTGGAACTTGACAGTGGTTATTTCCTTGAGATGGCACTAAAGAGAGGAGATGGTGACCAGCACCAGAAGAGTAATGGCCACAATATGTCTTGGCCAGCACTAAGGATAAGGCCTAACAGAAAGTAGCGTGCTTTGATAAATGTGTAGTGAAGCATTTACTTTCAGAGGAAACAATGCTGGACGTGGCTGGGAGCCAAGAACATCTGTGTTCTTGGGATCCCAAATGCGTGGAAGGAGCAGATGTAACTGAATATGTAGCAGAAAACCTGGCTCAATTCCTAACAATATGGGGGAGGGCTCTGTTTTTGCACAGAAGGCCCTCTGGTACCCAGAAAAATGAAACAGGAGGGGAACTCCTGAATAATATTATTACCTTTCTGAAGGAGAAATATTATTAAAGTGCTCAACAGAATGAGGACAGT